CATCTCATTCAAGAATACCATTTAGTATCGTATGCGATATCCCATGCAATATCTAGGATCCTCGTTTCAAGAATAGGGTCCCAGGCACGGCTGTGTCTTGGTACGGTGGAGTGGCTGTCGAGTTCCCCACGCTCCGGGCTTCCTCCACGCCGGCGGTGTGCCGGGCGGTGTGTAGGTCCCTTGGTCGGCTGAGTCCGGATCCTCCGTCTGCGTGGCCTGGTGCTCAAGGCTCGGAGAGCACGCCTGTGTCCCCTTTTCCTCGGTGGGCGCCTCCCACTCGCTGTCCGTCTGCGTCTCTATACAGCTAGTCGGGGGCCGTACTTCTAGTCCTTTGTGGACCCGTGTCGGTGGTACGGTCTGCGTCCCCTGGTGGCGGAGGTCTCCGGGAGATCGCGGTAACGGAGACAGGAGCGGCGGGACCGTGTACCTTGGAGACGTGTAGCAACGGAGGCGTATGTCCCACGTGGTCAGGAGAGCTCGTGGAGGTCGTGTGAGCGGCCGTGACGGTGATTCGAGCCGGATCAATTTCCACGCGGCAGGTTGCTGTTCCTGCGGCTGCACGGGCTGATGTGTCGGCAGCGATGAGCGGGAAGTTGGCGACTTGGTACGATTGTACTTGCGCAGCGTTCTCAAAAAGACTTCCTTCTCGTGGCTGATACTGTATAGTATAGCTGTGCGAGGATAGTCGAAGGTATCGTCGCTTGCCGGTCCTTATATATCCTGGTCGCCGCATTTCTTTTACGAGAAAGGGCAGCCGCCTAGCGGAGCGTGCTTGTTATCATCTTCGACGGCATGCTGATTGCACGTACTCGTTGCGTGCGGCCGTTCGCCGTGCCGCCAGTGCTCTTGCCGGTCGGGGTGTGTATGACGGGCTGTCGTCTGGCAGGCGCGCGTGTGGCTTGTGTTGTGGCGGTTGCGTTGCCAGATTCGGGGCGCTTGCAGCCGCCACAGGACCCCCTTCGTTGTATTTAAACTCCCGCCTGGAATCGGACGACTGGTTTTCGAGTTCTGCTATTTCGTGTAATTGCTGTTGGCGTGGGCTCAGTTGCCTGTTTGGTCCTCTGTTCGTTCTCCGTTGCTGAGGGCGTTTCGGTTTCTATGAGAGTGTACGCCGGTTTGAGGCGTTCTACCGAGACGTTCGTAGGTTTGCCTCCCGTCTGGATGGTAAAAAATCGCTCTGTCCGCTTGATGACTTCGTATGGTCCATTATAGCGGGGGTGGAGTGCGCCTGTTGTCGCGTCCTGTCTGATAAAAACGTAGTTTGGGTGTTAGACGCCCCATGAGGTTGCGTAAACGACCGATGAAATCCGTCTTGTTTGTTTCGTTTTTGGTTGTGCCGAAGAATTCTCCAGGTAAGTGGATTGATTCTCCGTACACCATTTCTGCTGGGGTTGCTTTGATGTCTTCCTTAATTGCCGCTCTGATGCCCATGAGTATTATCGGCAAGGCTTCGGTCCATTCATCGGTCTCATGGCATCTGATGGCTGCTTTTAGCTGTCGGTGAAATCTCTCCACCATCCCGTTGGCTTGTGGGTGATAGGCTGTGGTCCTCCAGTGCTTGGCTCCCGTCAACTTTATTAAACGCCGGAACATGTCTGATTCGAACTGGCGTCCTTGGTCGGTGGTGATTCTCTCTGGGATCCCGTAGCGGGCCATCCATTGGGTGAAGAGTTGTTTCGCGATGGTCTCTGCTGTGATGTCCTCTACTGGGATTGCCTCGGACCAGCGTGTAAATCTGTTTATGATTGTTAGACAGTACCTGTAGCCTTTCGACGTTGGTAGTGGCCCTACTAGGTCTAGGTGGATGTGTTGGAATCTCCGAGTCGGTTGGAGGAATATCCCGATGGAGGGACGGTTGTGTCTCCCGATCTTGGAGCGTTGGCACTGGAGGCATGCTCGTGTCCAATTTCGGCAGTCTTTATTGACTCCTGGCCAAACGAATCGTTCTGTGACCAGTCTCGTGGTTGCTTTGATTCCGGGGTGTGATAATCCGTGTAGGCTTTGGAAAACCTGCTTGCGGTATGGCTCTGGAACGAACGGTCTCTGTGTGCCGTGTGTGGTGTCGCAGTACAGCTTCGTTGTTGTTCCCGGAATATTGATTTGCGTTAGTTTTAATGCTGACGTGCCCTCTGTTCGTAAGGTGTTGAGTTCCTCGTCCTCGCTTTGAGCTCTCGCTATTTCCTCGCAATCTATTGTTGTTGCTATGCTTTCTACTCGAGACATGGCATCAGCTACCACGTTGTCGGTGCCTTTGATATGCCGGATGTCCGTCGTGAATTGGCTTATAAACTCGAGATGTCGAGCTTGCCTTGGTGAGCTCTTCAGCGGGTTTTGCATCATTGCGTATACCAGTGGTTTGTGGTCTGTGTATACGATGAAGTGTCTTCCTTCCACCATGTGTTGAAAGTGTTTTATCGCTGCGTATATTGCCAATAGTTCTCTGTCGTATGGGCTGTATTTCTGTTGTGTTTTGGACAACTTTTTGCTGAAGAACGCTAGTGGCTGTGCTTGTCCTTCCACTAGCTGATGTATCACCGCTCCTATGGCGGTATCCGAGGCGTCCGTTGTCATCGTTAGCGGGGCATCAAATTGTGGATGAGCAAGAAGCGTCGCTTGGGCAAGGCTCTTCTTACAATGCTCGAAAGCGGCTACTAATTCGGGTGTCCATTCAACCGGTGTTTTCCCTTTTTTCTGTTTCCCGGCAAGTATATCGTTTAATGTTGCTTGCTCTCTTGCTGCGCCTAGTACAAAACGGCGATAGAAGTTAATCGAGGTATTCCAGGAATTTTACCTCTGGCATCCCGAAAATGCACTTGGCTGGGTTCAATCGTATTCCGTACTGCTGTAGGCGCCGGAATACCTCTCTCAGGTGGCGTTTGTGTTCTTCTTCGTTGGCGGAAGCTATTAAAATATCGTCGATGTAGGCGTAGCAAAAGTCTAGCCCTCTTAGTACCTCGTTGAGGAATCGTTGAAATGTCTGTGCGGCGTTTCTCAGGCCGAATGGCATGTAGACGTATTCGAATAGGCCGAATGGTGTGATTATGGCCGTCTTCGGTATGTCTTCTGGGTTGACTGGGATCTGGTTGTATGCTCTGACCAAATCTATTGTTGAGAAAATGGTTTTTCCATGTAGCGAGTGTGAGAAGTCCTCGATGTGTGAAATTGGATACATGTCCGGCTTGGTTCGCCTATTTACAGGGCGGTAGTCTCCGCACGCTCTCCATTGGTCCGCTTTCTTGGGGACCATATGTAGTGGTGATGCCCATGGGCTTTTTGAAGGCCGGATTATTCCTTCTCGTAGTAGTAGTTCGAACTCTATTTTTGCTGCTTTCAACTTGTCAGGTGCCAGGCGTCTCGGTCGGCAGGCCTCCGGCGGGCCTGGCGTGGTGTTTATGTAATGCACGGTATTGTGCGAGCACTTTGCTGTTCCCGATTGCCGTGTGATGTCAGGAAACTCTTTTAATATGTGGTGGTAGGGCGACTCCTCGTTAATTGCTTTTATCGAAGAAGTGTGCTGTTCTTGGGTGCGCCCTTTCGCTCGCAGGCCTGTCTGCCCGTCGACCAGGCATCCACTTCTGACGTCTGGTAATAAATGGTAGTATGCCAGGAAATCGGAGCCTATGATTGGCGTCGTGACGTCCGCTATGATGAATCTCTACGGAAAATCTCGTCTAAGTCCGAAATCGGGCTGGAGGTTCGTGCTCCCGTAGGTCGCTATTGCGGATCCGTTGGCTGCGTAGAGTTCGTATTTTTCCTTTTGATTCCTTCTTCCTCGCTGGTGTGGGTAGACGCTTATATCCAACCCGGTGTCTATCAGGTATCGTGTCTTTGTCTTTTTGTCCGTCAGGAAGAGGCGGCATGGTCGTGGGCTATCGTTGTTGGCCGCCCTCAGCAACTGCCCTCCGTGTTTTCCGGCTTGGCCGGTTTGATCGCCTTGTGCACGGTACCTCGCATTTTTGTGCCTTATCTTTGAAAGTACGGTGGTAGTAACAGTGTTCCACCGTGAAACCCTTGGTGTGGCCACGGTTGCGGCTGCGGCTGCGGCTGCGGGATCGGTCCGCTCTCCATCGTTTTCTTTCCTGCGAGAACTGTGTTGTTAGCGCTGCCACCTGTTTTGTTAGCGCCTCGATTTGTGCTTGTAGCGTCGTTTTCTCTGTGGAGGTTGCCTCTACTGCTGCGACGACTGCGCGGTCGTTGACCTCGTGTATGCGGTCGGCTTGTTCTGCGACGTCTTCCAATCGATCTCCTTGACGAGTTGCCAAGATGACCTGCGTCTGAGCTGGTAATCTCCCTAGCCACAGTGTTCGGAGTGGGCTATCTGGCACTGCGGTGCCTGCTAGTCCTTTTAGGTGGCGCAAGAATTGCGATGGCTTCCTGTCGCCGAGCTTTTCGCGCTCTAGTAGTTGTCTCGTTCGTTGCTTTTGGGATGTAGATAGGCGTTGTATGAGCGTCTTCTTCAGCGTCTTGTACCTATGTTCCGCTGGTGGAGACGTGACGATGTCTTTTATTTCCTTGGCATATCTGGTATCTATCTGCGATAGCGCGTAGGCGTACCGCGTTGTGTCCTGCGTGATTCCGCATATGATAAATTGGCTCTCCAGTTGTGCAAACCACAGCTCCGGCTCTTCTGGCCAGAATGGTGGCATTCTTAATCCTACGCGGTTTATCTGGAGCTCCTCCTTGACTTGGTGGGTTCTGTCCCCTTCCGTTTGTTCCTTTGATGTCGCCATCTTGTTGTTCTTTCGTCGGGGTCACCAGTTATGGCGGTAGGCCAAAATTTATGCGAAATGGCGATGTTTGTTAGAGATATTTGGGGGCCCTGAGAAGGACTGTTTGTGTAATGTGGCCCTGAAAAGGGCCGGTTGGTTTCGCCTTAGTAGGCTGGCAAACGTTCACCCCAGACCAGGCACGGCTGCGTCTTGGTACGGTGGAGTGGCTGTCGAGTTCCCCACGCTCCGGGCTTCCTCCACGCCGGCGGTGTGCCGGGCGGTGTGTAGGTCCCTTGCTCGGCTAAGTCCGGATCCTCCGTCTGCGTGGCCTGATGCTCAAGGCTCGGAGAGCACGCCTGTGTCCCCTTTTTCTCGGTGGGCGCCTCCCACTCGCTGTCGGTCTGCGTCTCTATACAGCTAGTCGGGGGCCGTACTTCTAGTCCCCTGTGGACCCGTGTCGGTGGTACGGTCTGCGTCCCCTGGTGGCGGAGGTCTCCGGGAGATCGCGGTAACGGAGACAGGAGCGGCGGGACCGTGTACCTTGGAGACGTGTAGCGGTGGAGGCGTATGTCCCACCTGGTCAGGAGAGCTCGTGGAGGTCGTGTGAGCGGCCCTTGACGGTGATTCGAGCCGGATCAATTTTCACGCGGCAGGTTGCTGTTCCTGCGGCTGCACGGGCTGATGTGTCGGCAGCGATGAGCGGGAAGTTGGCGGCTTGGTACGATTGTACTTGCGCAGCGTTCTCAAAAAGACTTCCTTCTCGTGGCTGATACTGTATAGTATGGCTGTGCGAGGATAGTCGAAGGTATCGTCGCTTGCCGTTTCTTATATATCCTGGTCGCCGAATTTCTCTTACGAGAAAGGGCAGCCGCCTAACGGAGCGTGCTTGTTATCATCTTCGACGGCATGCTGATTGCACGTACTCGTTGCGTGCGGCCGTTCGCCGTGCCGCCAGTGCTCTTGCCGGTCGGGGTGTGTATGACGGGCTGCCGTCTGGCAGGCGCGCGTGTGGCTTGTGTTGTGGCGGTTGCGTTGCCAGATTCGGGGCGCTTGCAGCCGCCACAATTTATTAACATAAAAATTAAAATTTGTGAACGTAATACTATTTTTATTAATTAAGGAAGGAAAGGATTTTTAGGAGTCAGAGGAACAGCTACGCATAAATAAAATATATTACTTATATGTATATTGTTCAGGATTTCCATTACCGCGATCAATTACCGCGATCGATACCGGTACCGCCATCCCTGAGCCGCCCCTTGAACGAGGCGACTTCGCGCCGCTCCCCCCGCGTCATCCCTGACCGCTCGGTCTCTCACGTAGCGCTATCGATCCGGACACGCGAGGATCCCGTCATCCTGCAAAACGCGCCGATTGGCCAAATTCATTGTCGCGTCACCGAATGCTCCGGAAACGAGCCCGCGAGAACGCCGGTCCTCAGTAGAAGCTAATCGAACAACTCGTGCGGTACTCCAGCTCGTGTGTCTCCGTACTGAGT